CGCTTTTGTGCATTAGGAATAAAAAATATCGTAAGTAACACGAGAATAAAGGCAGCCAATTTCTTTACAATGATTTTTGTGACACGAGTGGAGGTCTCGGGGCGCCTACGGCGCCCTCGACCTCCACTCGTGTCACAAAAATCACCGTAAAGAAATGGCTGCCTTTCTCCTCTTGTTGCTTAATATACTATTTCCTTTTACACTCCAACCTTGCAATACAAATTTTTAATCAACTAATTATTTACAAAATTAAATTTTTTTTCGTGTTTTTAACTAAACATCTTCTATAAATCCATTATTTTTAATAATTTTTGAAAAAATTCTTTAAGAATTTATAAAAATCCATTTGTCCACAATTCAATTTTACAAACAGGGATCACAGTATCTATTATCATTAAAAAAGGTAAAAAGGTACAATTATTTTCGAAATTAGGTAACAAATAGGTAAAAATAAAATTACTGTAAAACATGAATAAACATATTGGGTAGTTGCACCAGTGAAGGAATTGACACCAGTAAAAGAACAAATTTATTATTTATCACGATATTTCCCAAATTTTATTAACTTTTAGCATTAGGGTCAGAATTCGTGAAATTTTCACAGAAAATAAAAAGTATTTTTTTTTAAATCAAAATGTTGAAAAAACAATATTCTATTTGGCCTTAAGCATGTGTCCACCAAAAAACAGAAAAAAAAATTATTTTTTATAAAAGTTATTCCAAAATTAATTTTTTTGCAACTTTTTAAACAAAATTTGATTTCTTCTAAATGAATGAACCGATTTAAAAGAACCAAGCGGGAATATAAAGGGGATAAAATATACTTTAGTTCAGAATTAGAAAATTTTTAAAAAGTTTATTTTTTAATAATTATTTAATAAATTTTTTATAAACAATTAATTTTTTTTTATGTTCTACGCCTTTTAAAAATTTGAAAAAATATTAACATACACTTAAAACTATAAGAAATCAAAATCCGTTGAGAAAATTTTAGTCATGTAAAGTTGGCAATACTTTTTTGGAAAATCAAAAATTTTACAAGAGTTCTGGGCACTTTGGCAATAGTTCTAGAGTTCTCTAACGATTACTTAAATAGTTCTGATGATTAACAATAAAAAAGCGACAATGAAAAATCATAGTGCAAACTTTGCACAGCACTATGATTTTTACAAAAAAGAGTTCTGACCTAATATTCTAAAAGAGAATAAAGAGTTCTAGAGTTCTCTACCAAAAAAACAAGAGTTCTGCAAAATTTCAAAAGTTATTAACAAATTAAAAAAAGATATAAAAATAATATTTTGCAAGTTCTGAATAGAGTTCTGGCATCGTTGCGAAGAGTTCTGTAAGTATGTCTAATGACATTTTGTTCTAAATCCAAAATCAAAAAAGTTACGGGACTTTGAAGTTTACTAAAATTTTCAAAATTTTAAAATTCAGAGTTCTCAGAATTTTGTACAGAGTTCAGGCATCGTCATAAAGAGTTCTATAAGTATTTCTAATGACATTTTGTTTTAAATCCAAAATCAAAAAAGTTACAGGACTTTGAAATTTTCATAAATTTTCAAAATTTTAAAATTCAGAGTTCTGAGAGTTCTCAAAAGAGTTCTGGCATCATCATAAAGAGTTCTATAAGTATTCCTAATGACATTTTGTTTTAAATCCAAAATCAAAAAAGTTTCGGGACTTTAAATGTCATTAGGAATACTTATAGAACTCTTTATTATGATGCCAGAACTCTAATCAGAACTCTGAATTTTTAAATTTTTTGAAAATTTTTAAGTTCTGTAATTTTTTGGATTTTAGATTTAAAACAAAATGTCATTAGAAATACTTCTAGAACTCTTCGCAATGATGCCAGAACTCTAATCAGAACACTCAGAACTCTGAATTTTAAAATTTTGAAATTTTTTGAAAATTTCAATGTCCTGTAACTATTTTGATTTTGGATTTAAAACAAAATGTCATTAGGAATACTTATAGAACTCTTTATGATGATGCCAGAACTCTTTTCAGAACTATCAGAACACTGAATTTTAAAATTTTGAAAATTTATGAAAACTTCAAAGTCCCGTAACTTTTTTGATTTTGGATTTAGAACAAAATGTCATTAAACATACTTACAGAACTCTTCGCAACGATGTCAGAACTCTATTCAGAACTTGCAAAATATTATTTTTATATCTTTTTTTAATTTGTTAATAACTTTTGAAATTTTGCAGAACTCTTGTTTTTTTGGTAGAGAACTCTAGAACTCTTTATTCTCTTTTAGAATATTAGGTCAGAACTCTTTTTTGCAAAAATCATAGTGCTGTGCAAAGTTAGCACTATGATTTTTCATTGTCGCTTTTTTTATTGTTAATCATCAGAACTATTTAAATAATCGTTAGAGAACTCTAGAACTATTGCCAAAGTGCCCAGAACTCTTGTAAAATTTTTGATTTTTCAAAAAAGTAGTGCCAACTTTACATGACTGAAAATTTTAGAGCGACAATTATTTTATAAGTTATAATGGAAATTATATTGGCGCGGTGTAGTGTATCAACGCTGAAATTAGTTTTTGATCATTTTTATCAATTTTTATGGTTATATAATTAAATAAAAATGTTAATTTGACAGTGTTTTGTTCATTTCGTAGTTAAAAATAATGTTTTTATTCTGAAAATCATCAAAATCCCATCTCCGTTCAATATAATTTCCATTATAACTTTTAAAATAATTGTCGCTCCAAAATTTTCTCAACAGATTTTACAGTTACTTTTTGCACTATAAAAATCGAAATGAGTTACACTTTGTAATACTAAAAAATATGATATTTTGTTGCAATATTTGGAAGAAAAGTCGAGAAAGTCGCAATTTTTAAAAATATAGGTCGGAAAAAGTATCAATTTTCTAAATTTCCCTGACTTAACTGACAAAAAGTTTGTTTTTCTGACATTTCCCTGACTATACTGACATGTGGCTACCCTGGATATGGTGTAAATGTACTGAAAATCAGTGATATAAGTATGTATTATTTTAAATGAATCTGAAGTTACCAACGTTGATTCAACGAAAAACTTAAAAAAATTTTCTCAGGATATAAATTTTTCTTGTATATTTTTAACCCAAGTAAACTCTCGAATCCTAAAATAAAAAAAACGTGGGAAAACAGTGATTTTTATTTTTTTTGGCAAATTTTTTCCAAAAATCACATTATTAATCACATTATTCTAATGTCGTGTGCCATTTAAAAAAAATTCCAAGTAGTTTCAAGTCGGGGAAAGCAGTGATTTTGATTTTTTTAATGAAATTCCAGGATTTTTGGAAAAAATTCGACAAAAAAAATAAATATCACTGCTTTCCCCGACTTGGAATCACTTGAAATGTTTTTAAAATAACGTCTAATGTTAAAATAAACAATTATCAAAAGAAAAAAATGACTACCGAGGCGAGAAATTATGAATTTAAATGAAATTTCGGAATTTTTGGAAAGTTCGTGACACAAAAAAATCCAAAATCACTGCTTTCCCCGACTTGGAATTACTTAAAAATTTTTTTAAATAACGTGTAATATTAACATAAACAATTATCAAAAGAAAAAAGTAACTACCGAGGCGAGGAATTATTAAATTACTTAAAATTTACGGATTTTCCAAAAATCCGTGACAAAAAAAAACCAAAATTACTGTTTTCCCCGATTTGGAAACGTATAAAATTTTTTTTAAATAGCGTCTAATATTAAAATAAACAATTATCAAAAGAAAAAAATGACTACCGAGGCGAGGAATTATGAATTTAATTAAAATTTCGTGATTTTTGGAAAAAATTCAAAAAATAGAATAAAAATCACTGTTTTTCCCACGTTTTTTTTATTTTAGGGTTTGGAGGGTTTACTTGGGTTAAAAATATACAAGGAAAATTTGTATTCTGAGAAAATTTTTTTTTAAGTTTTTCGTTGAATCAACGTCGGTAACTTCAGTTTCATTATTTTAATCGTTATGTTATGTACTTAATTTAAGTAAATTCAATTTAATTTTAAAATAGAATTTTACACAGTTAAATTTTAAAACATATTTTATTGTTTAGAACCTGCTCTATATTTGGTATTTTAAATGTCATGGGAAGGAAAGGTAATCGAAAAACTGCCTTCTAGCACATCTGACAGTGTCGTTTTGAAAACGCAGCCTGAGAAATTTCGTATGGGAAACATTCATAATAATAATTGTCCTACCACCCCACACTATTGAATCCCCAGCTGCGAAATAGGGATATGAAATTTAACACGAAAAATCATTCAAAGCCGTAAACATTTCGTAACCTTTATTATTTAAACTTTAATTGCACTATTCATCAACTTACTTGTGTTTACTATACTTAGTTTAAAAATTATACATTGACCTCAAGCTGAGCCTGGCACCCAGTCAATTTTTTCAACATTTTATGTCGGTTGTAAACGGAAAATATTTGCTGGATAGCTATCATAACAAAGAGAAAAAACAAAACACTGAGAAAATGACATTCAGCAATATTAACAACAATGGCAGTCCTAAATCAATAATGAAATAAGGTGAAAGGATTTTTATTTTCATTAATGAATTTGAAAAGCAAAAGTCGTATTAAATGGAGAATGAAAGCTTCCCTTGTTTAGTGACTCAAACTGGAGCAACATAACCTCCAGTTTTCAGAACTGTGTTCGGCATTAAACACCCTTGAAAATTGTCTTTAGAATCAGAAAAGAATTCTTGAGTCTACAACTAGTGATTACTGAAAGAAGGGACTTATCCTTTGAGATGAACTTTTTATATTTGAGGTTAAGTATTCAAATGCGCAGTGCCCTGTATACAACTACAAAAAAAATTGATTGCACTTCGGTAATGTGCATTATGACACTAGTTAAAATAAATTGAATGATTTTTATAAGAAAAGATTCGCCAGAGAATATAAAAACGCGCGAAAAATCCGTGCAATAGAATTTTGTGAGCAGACGCGGGGCTGAAAAGAGAATAACGATCGACACTTACAGGGTAGTACATTCCTTGCGGAGGAAGGAAAAACGCCCCAGAGCCCCACAGTTTGAGGCCGTTTTGCTCCACCGTTGTTTGAGAAAACAATCTGACACTCCGTAGCACCTCGTCGTCTGTTCCTCCTCGGTCGCCACCTCCTCAGCTGCTCACTATTCCTTCCTTCCTTCTCACTCTCTACTCACAAACGGCGTGCTAGAGGCTTGTTATTATTCTAGTTGAACACAAACGAGAACAAGAGAGAGAAACCGGTAGCGTGGTCGAACTACGTTTATCCGCACGCACGAGACACACACGCACTAACAACGTTGATGTTGAGACGCGCACTCTGCTAAACTCGAGAGACTTCTAATTGTGACTTGATTTCAATCAAGAGGTCTTGATTCTCTCTTATCCTGAATACACAACCTATCTGATTATTCACAGAGCGTTGAAATCCGCGAAACACACTAACTAGACTACTAACTTTCTTTCTACTACTTTCTTCTGTATTTCTCCCTTCCTACAGATCGAACTCACACGGCAGCCACTTTGCGTGGTCCTTTGCAGACTGGCGACTGTACCGGCGCCATGCACTAATTCATTCACAGCGCCACCTAAATCTGCGCGCGCAGCGCTATAAACTTGCTGCGACAATTATCTGAATTAAATCATCAACATTCTCTTACCTTCTAAAATCAGTTCCTCATCCTCCCTTACTTTATCTTTGGCTAAAGCTACTATAGCGCTTTCAGAGATAATCATTATAATTCCTTTAAAGTAACATATACCTAAAATAGGATGGCCGAATATACACAGCGCAACGCTAGTATAAGTGCCAATGTTAAACACTACTACTACTACTACTACCTAAAATAGGTACCTATTCATTTTTTAATATAAAAGTTGCCACAGGTCTGGAAAAACGGGAATTGTCATGGAAATACAAAAGTATGTGGAAAAGTCAGGGAAAATTATGAAAAATCGGGAATTCCTTCATAATTTCAAATGCGAACGAACTTTACCTTTTTTTTAAATGCAAATGAAGAACTGCCATAAAGTTATTATTTATGAATCATTTATTGAAGTATTTTTTTTTTAACTTTAATTTCAATTCTGTTGAAATTATTTTCAATTTTTTAAATTTTAACGCAATTATTTGAAAGAATTTAACTATCAATAAACAATAAAATTCTTTCCAGAAATTCAATTATTTTCAAACATTTTTTTTTAAATTCTCGTCAACATTTTAATTTATCTTTATAAATAGCAAAATTCTTCGCCGAAATTCAATTATATTTAGGAATTTTTTTAATATTCATTGTAAAATTCAATTATTTTTATAAATAACAAAATTCATCACAGGAATTCAATTATTTTCAAAATTAATAAAATTCTTCGCAGAAATTCAATTATTTTCAAAGAATAAAAAAAAAATTGTCAACATTTCAATTATCTTTATAATTGGATAGCAAAATTCTTTGACAAAATTCAATTATTTTCAGGAATTTTAATAAAATTCATTGCAAAATTCAATTGTTTTCATAAATAATAGCATTCGTTACAAGAATCCAATTATTTTTAAAAGTAATAAAATTTAATTATTTTCAAAAATTTTAATAAAATTCATAACAAAATTTCAATTATGTATTTTCAAAAATTTTTTTCAATTCAATGATTTTCAATATTCTATACTATTTTAATAAAATTTCTCAAAAGAATTCAATTATTTAAAAACAATTTTCCCAAAGTTCTAAACGCGAATATTCAATTATCTTCTAAAACAATAAAAATTTAGTATAATCTTCACAAAATTCAAAATGTTTGTATTAAAACTCGAAATGTCAAATTCTCATACACCCTTTAAGAAGTATTATATATATAACCAAATATTTCAAATTCCACAGTTAGAATTCTGTTTAAGTCCATAATAGTTTCGAATTTTGATAAAGTTGATATGAAAATGCACGAAAAATGAAAAGAAAAAATTGACGAGAATTGTCGAAATTTGCCGAAGTTGAACAAATGAGTCTGGCCTGAATTAACCGACTCTGAAAGAGCAGTAACAAATCCGTCACGACGCATCACTACGATCTATTGCGTCTGTACAGCGTTAATTTATCAGTTTTATTTTGAAGGTGTTAAATAAAAATCTTTCTTCAAAAAATAATACAAAGTTTGACATTCCGCCGTGTAGAAATTTGAGTTAGGTTCTGATAGGGTCCTCGCTGTATTTCCCTACTGCTAGCAGGGTTCTGAAAGGGAAAATCTGGTCAGGGCCCGGCACCTTTCGTCACGCTCGCGAACAGCGAAGAATGGAAGATCGGGCTCTAGCTTGATTTCCCTGTGATGGCCCTACCAGAAATAGAAAGCCACCGCTAGGACACTTTTAGTTCCCTTCAATCGCTCGGTATATTAAATATTCGAATAAATACACGGAGAAAAAAATGCTGTTGAATCAATGACACCCGGGCATTTTTATGATACAAAAATTTTTTTAGTTGTCGCTATTGCTTCAATAACACCATATTGTTAATCCAATCCTTTTATGGGGTTAAAAATATACAAACGATAAATTGAAAAAAGAAAATTAGGTTTACATATTTTTTATATATTATAATTAATTTTCACAGCTACAAATATTTTTATATATATAACACTTTTTAGGAGTACAGTGGAACCTCGATTATCCGAACCTCTGTTATCCGAACCCTCTATTATCCGAACTGAAAATCATTTTATCCGAACTTCTATTATCCGAACTTTTTTTGGCCTCCCGAATCTTTCAAAGGAAAATACACGGAGAGAAGAGTTGCAGTAAATGTAACAGAACGCGTTTAGTACATCATTTAGTGCACCGGTTAGTGGCGCCAACTGTATGTTTAGTATAATACACTACGACACCTCTCTGTTTAGTAGAATATACTGTTTGCTCAGTGTATCTTACTATCTTACTAAACAGTGCAGTAGATGGCACTGTCTGTACCGTCAGTCCAAACCTAACGATTCTGTTTAGTAGATTTAACTGCCATGTCAGTAGAATCTACTACGCCCTTCTCTCCGTGTAACGAAATTTATGCCAGAAAAATTTTTAAAAATTCTGAATTCTATGTTTTATTAATATATTAATTATGAATTAATATATATTTACGTATATATACTTATGTATATTTAAAAAATGGATTAAATGAAATATATATAATTCAACTGTCGATTTTTTTACTTTAATTATATATAAAAAAAATTAAAATCTCTATTATCCGAACCCGGCCTTGCCTAGGTTAGTTCGGATAATCGAGGTTCCACTGTAATAATTTTGTTTTTAAGAAAAACTCTTCACGTAAAGTGAAAGTATTGGTTGCAGAATAATTATATTGGTTGTACTTTTGTTACAATAATTGTGAATGAAGTATTGTCACTTCATTCTATTGAAAAAGTATTAATCGAATTATATAAAATTCCATTTATCGAAGTTAAGTAGTTGTTGAAAGCAATGAGCTTTCCATGACATGGAGATATTAAATTATTTCTAAATAAGGAGGTTCTCTCGCAAAGAGAAATAACAAACAGTTAATTATATGATTTAAAGAGATATCTTTTTCTTGCATTAAATCAATGGTAACCCGTGTGGAAATTTGTTATGGAAGTTTCTAGGTTCTGTATCATAGTACTTGATTCATTATTGGTTTTAGACAATTTTCTATATTGTGCCTATTGTCATTTGTAACCTTTCAGACAACTAGTTGTTAGACAGTTAAAAAAGTAGGATAAATACTTTAAAGCATAACTAGATGAATTCTGGAAAATATCGATCCACTTAAAAAAATGGATCTTCAAATTAATGCTTCTAAATATGACAAATACGGATTTCAAATACGACAGGAATTAAAAGTCTGGAACGTTATCTTTTTAAATGTACAAGTCAATGAAAATATTAATTTTTTAGTGTTTTTTCCAAAAAATAAAATAAATAACCTTTTATTTTCATACATTAATTTAATTTTCAGTTCTTAAAAAAAGTAAATTAAAATAACCTTCTAAAATACAACAATTATAAGATAAGTAAATAATGATATAAATAAAAATAAACTTACTGATTAAGTATATATTTGAGATTACTCTAATTAAAATAAAAATTTGAAATAACCTTACTAGTTTGTGAACATTAAAACAATATAAACTTATTAATTTCTTTAAATGTGTCAAAAAATTCTTTCTTTTGTATATTAAAAATATACGTAGCTCTAATAACTAGTAAGAAAAATACTAAAAGACATGCTTTTATCACAATTGTCAACGTGATATTAAACTTAAACTGTCACTTTTGCTACCTAACCTGACATCGAAATATATTAATCTCCTATATTAACAAATAATAACTATTTAACAACAATTTTATATTTTTTTGAGTGGAAAATAAGATTTTTTACAATGTGTAAGTGGAAATATTATTTTCGAAGTAAGTTGTAGTGTTTTATTAGAGGTGGTTCAATGTAGACACATCCTTCAAAATAAGAAAAGTGTAACTGGTTAGAAAAAAATTAAATTTAATTATTTAATGATAATAATTTGTGTTTGTAACGTGTTATTAACTAAAGGAGAACTTCAGTTTTATTTTGATACAAAAACCTGATCAAAATTTGTAAAATTTAATTAGTTCTTGGACTTTATAAAAAACCCGGTTCAATGTAGCCTACCCTCCCCTAAGGAAAATATTTTTTTATGTAATTATTGTACGGCATTGATACTTCGACTCCAAAAAGAAATTTTGCATCAAATTGAAATGAATAAATAATACAAAGCTTTTTGTAAAATGAAGCATTTGGGTTAGTGATAATTTTAAGGAACTGGCTGTGATATATGTTAGAGGATATACCTCCTACTGACAGGAAAAATTTGAAAAAAAAAAATTTTTGTGTAAGATCTAAGAAAAAGTGTGGCCCACAATATCCCAATCTTCTTAGTACTATTAACTACTTTTTGGTATTCACTACAACTCTTTAAATTCAGTTATAAGGACTTATTAAATTATTGAGAGTAGTTGAAAAGTAGTCAAATCTACTAGAAATTTTGTTGAGAGCAGATATCATACAGATATCATACAGATTCATTTCTAAAAGAATCATTTTTTTTTAAATTAGGAAGCAACGACTATTCGAAATATAATAGTCTCACATCTCAGTGGCATGGTTCTTACAGTCAGTGCTTAGGTGTTGCTATGGAAACACGTGAAGGGCCAGCATCCCCTGCGAAGGGGATATATATATATATTCTATTTCTTTGTCTGATGTTTTTTTTGTCCAAGCTATCGACTCTATCGAAACCTATTTTTGCTGCCTATATCAGGCCCGTGCGCACGTGGTGGGTTTTGAGGTTTTAACCCCCCCCCCCAGAGAGAGAAAGAGCGCTGAAAGTTGAGTTAAAGTTTTAAATCTTTATAAAAAATAATTCAAAACATTTATTATTAATATACAAATATCCCAATGGGAAATTTACAACTGGCGGAGTACTGCACCAGCACTGTCAGTACTTGCAGCTACGCTGACAGACAGCACTGGCATAACTCTGGGATGATAACGCTGTCT